CACTACGGCGCCAGGGACTCAAATCCTGCAGTGCGAGACGTGTCCCCCTGCTTAAGCCAGTACATGTCCAGGCCCGTCTGAAGTTTGCTAGAGTGCATTTGGATGATCCAGAAGAGGATTGGGAGAATGTCATATGGTCAGATGAAACCAAAATATGACTTTTTGGTAAAAACTCAACTCGTCGTGTTTGGAGGACAAAGAATGCTGAGTTGCATCCAAAGAACACCATACCTACTTTGAAGCATGGGGGTGGAAACATCATGCTTTGGGTCTGTTTTTCTGCAAAGGGACCAGGACGACTGATCCGTGTAAAGGAAAGAATGAATGGGGCCATGTATCGTGAGATTTTGAGTGAAAACCTCCTTCCATCAGCAAGGGCATTGAAGATGAAACGTGGCTGGGTCTTTCAGCATGACAATCATCCCAAACACACCGCCCGGGCAACGAAGGAGTGGCTTCGTAAGAAGCATTTCAAGGTCCTGGAGTGGCCTAGCCAGTCTCCAGATCTCAACCCCATAGAAAATCTTTGGAGGGAGTTGAAAGTCCGTGTTGCCCAGCGACAGCCCCAAAACATCACTGCTCTAGAGGAGATCTGCATGGAGGAATGGGCCAAAATACCAGCAACAGTGTGTGAAAACCTTGTGAAGACTTACAGAAAACATTTGACCTGTGTCATTGCCAACAAAGGGTATATAACAAAGTATTGAGAAACTTTTGTTGTTGACCAAATACTTATTTTCCACCATCATTTGCAAATAAATTCATTACAAATCCTACAATGTGATTTTCTGGAATATTTTTTCTCATTTTGTCTGTCATAGTTGACGTGTACCTATGATGAAAATCACAGGCCTCTCTCATCTTTTTAAGTGGGAGAACTTGCAAAATTGGTGGCTGACTAAATACTTTTTTTCCCCACTGTATAACTTTTTGGGCGACCTGACCAAATTCACATAGAAATGTGAGTTATAGATATATCATTCTACTTGAATGCAAGTCTAAGAAGCAGTAGATCTGTTCTATGTGCTCGATTTTCTGAAAATGTTCTCTCTCTCTCTCTCACTCTCTCTCCCCCCCACACTCGCTCGCTCGCACACACACACACACACACACACACACACACACACACACACACACACGCACGCACACACACACACACACACACACACACACACACACACACACGACAGCTGGCAGAGAGGTTGGCATGCAGGAGTACAGGAGTAACTTCACGGTGGTGGTACGAGGTGATCGTCTCTACGCCATCAGAGGAGACATGGACATCAACACCAACCTGGACAGTGTTGAGGTCTAAAGCCCTGTCTCTGACACCTGGCGGTAAGGTAGAAGACAGAGACTCCATGAAAGTATTATTAAACAGACTTTCAAAACGTGGGTCTGCTAAAGGTGCTTTCCTCACCTCACAAATAATTGTAACTCATTTCAAAATAAAAGTCCCATAGAAGGCTATTTGACATTGTTTGCTCATGCTCATATGGTGCACATGCAGGACTTTTATTTTGACTTGAGGCGAAGTGATTTGTGAGGTGAAGAAAGCACCTGCAGAGCTATAAGAAGAATCTAGTGTGAATCTCTGGTTTACCCTTACTATAGTTGAAAGATTAGTCTATAGTGCAAGGTGAACTGAACAAAGATCATCACGGTGACATCTAGTGGTATTTAAGAGTATAGCGCTATGTTTGAGTTGGTTTACATAAGAACGAACAAGAGAGCAGATTTTGGACACATGCAGAAGCATTTAAGCGCAGCATATAATTCTGACTCAATTCAACCATACTACTCTCAATTTGATCCATTCATATACAGTGGCTTGCGAAAGTATTCATCCCCTCTTGGCATTTTTCCTATTTTGTTGCCTTACAACCTGGAATTTAAAAATGATTTTTTGGGAGGTTTGTATCATTTGATTTACACAACATGCCACTTTGAAGATGCAAAATATGTTTGGGGTGAAACAAACAACAAACAACAAATAAGCCCCCCCCCCCCCCCCCCCCCCCCCCCCAAATCAATACTCTGTAGAGCCACCTTTTGCAGCAATTAAAGCTGCAACTCTCTTGGGGTATGTCTCTATAAGCTTGGCACATCTAGCCACTGGGATTTTTGCCCATTCTTCAAGGTAAAACTGCTCCAGCTCCTTCAAGTTGGATGGGTTCCGCTGGTGTACAACAATCTTTAAGTCATACCACAGATTCTCAATTGGATTGAGGTCTGGGCTTTGACTAGGCCATTACAAGACATTTAAATGTTTCCCCTTAAACCACTTGAGTGTTGCTTTAGCAGTATGCTTAGGGTCATTGTCCTGCTGGAAGGTGAACCTCTGTCCAAGTCTCAAACAGGTTTCCCTCAAGAATTTCCCTGTATTTAGCGCCATCAATCATTCCTTCAATTCTGACCAGTTTCCCAGTTCCTGCCGATGAAAAACATCCCCACAGCATGATGCTGCCACCACCATGCTTCACTGTGGGGATGGTGTTCTTGGGGTGATGAGAGGTGTTGGGTTTGTGCCTGACATAGCGTTTTCCTTGATGGCCAAAAAGCTCAATTTTAGTCTCATCTGACCAGAGTACCTTCTTCCATATGTTTTTGGAGTCTTTCCCATTCCTTTTGGCTAACACCAAACATTCTGGCCACTCTTCTGTAAAGCCCAGCTCTGTGGAGTGTACAGCTTAAAGTGGTCCTATGGACAGATACTCTCTCTGCTGTGGAGCTTTGCAGCTCCTTCAGGGTTATCTTTGGTCTCTTTGTTGCCTCTCTGATTAATGCCCTTCTTGCCTGGTCCGTGAGTTTTGTTGGGCGGCCCTCTTTTGGCAGGTTTGTTGGCTGATCTGTACTTCTCCACAACTTTGTCCTTGACCTGTTTGGAGAGCTCCTTGGCCTTCATGGTGCCGCTTGCTTGGTGGTTCCCCATGCTTAGTGGTGTTGCAGACTCTGGGGCCTTTCAGAACAGGTGTATATATACTGAGATCATGTGACAGATCATGTGACACTTAGATTACACACAGGTGGACTTTATTTAACTAATTATGTGACTTCTGAAAGTAATTGGTTGCACCAGATCTTATTTAGGGGCTTCATAGCAAAGGGTGTGAATACATATGCACGCACCACTTTTCCGTTATTTATTTTTTAGAATTTTTTGAAACAAGTTATTTTTTAAATTTCACTTCACCAATTTGGACTATTTTGTGTATGTCCATTACATGAAATCAAAATAAAAATCAATTTAAATTTCAGGTTGTAATCCAACAATATAGGAAAATGCCAAGGGGGATGATACTTTTGCAAGGCACTGTATGTTCTTAATCTGTAACATTGCCAACCTCTTGCCAACCATTGCCAATCTCCAGCTTTGCCAAGCCTCTGGACCAGGCCCTGAGTGGCGACGCTGCCACAGTAGGAGGGAGATATAATATCTTCATCTCAGGGGGGTTCGACTGCAGGTACCAGTGTCTGACCTCCTTGTTCCTGTACCACCCTGAGAGAGGAACCACCTACCTGGCAGAGATGAGCCAGGATCGGGCCCAACACTGTATGGAGGTCCTGCATGGTGGTGGTAGTCTCTGCTTTGTAAGAGGGGTGTGTAACCTACATACCGTCTACACCAATTAGTTGGCCTGTGAACCCGTTATGGACATCCTTGAGTGCTTTCACGCCCCTGGCCATCCCCCATGTTGGAGCAGCCTCTGTGGTTCTGGAGGGGAAGCTCTATGTGCTGGGAGGATACTGCCAAGAGGATGACAGGGAGACCAGACTGGTTAACCGTTATGAACCCATTACCCAATGTTGAGAGAATACGGGCAAGATGCCCGGACCCAGCATGGACATACGAGCCTGTCTGCTCCGCCTGCCCAACCACTTAAGACAATGAGAAAGGGAACTTTAGAGTGTGAGAAAGAGGTTGGGGTCCAATTTAATTTATCATTCCAAATTAAATTCTGGAATTCAAGCAGGAAGTGGAGAATTTACTTGGAATTTAATTGGAATTGCAGCAATCTTCAAAAAAACGTAATTGGAATTGAATTGGAATTTAGGCTGTCTGAATTGGAATTGAATTGGAATTGATGTCACGAATTCCGCCGAGGCTGCTCCTCCTCCTTGTTCGGGCAGGCTTCGGCGTTCGTCGTCCCCGGAGTACTAGCTACCACTGTTTGATGTTATCTATGTTTGTTTGGTTTTGTCTGTTTAGTGCACCTGTTCCTTATCACGTCTTGATTATGTCACCTATAAGTTTCCTTTGGTTTTGTTTGTAGTTGTGTGTCGTTGTACGCCTGTCGTTTGGTGTAGGTTGTTTGTTTGCTTATTGTTAGTGCTGTTCGCACTTTACGCACTGTTTTGCGTATTCGCTCGCCTCCTGTTTATGAGGCCTGTATGGATTGTTCTTTGCTCCTGTGACTATTAAAAGTCGGATCGACTAAGCTTCTGTGTCCTGCGCCTGACTCCAACACCACATCCACATCAGCCCTTGACAATTGAAGAAGAAAACCATCATTGGAATGGAATTGAAATTTGTGGAATTGACCCCAAACCTTTTTATGACTGTACAACAAAGAGAAAAAGCTAGGCTGCCATTAATCTACAGGTGAGTAAAAATGTATTGTATGCCAGAAATTATAATCTAATTCTTTGTCATTGATAGAATGTTTTGACAGAAAAATGAATGCATATGTGTTGATATTATTAAATACCTTATGCCCTTACAAAGAACATGATTTGCTTTAAGAATTAAATACATTGTAATATTATTCTGCTTATTTAATCTTATGCATTTATTAGGTCTTATACTCTTTCTTACAGCGACGAGATCATGAACAAAATTGGGAAAAGCCTGAATTTGGAAACAAATGAAACTCCAACAGGAGAGAGAGACAGTGAGAGCAAAAACGCACGTGCAAGCCAGCCAGCCAGCCAATGAGCACCAATATCTGTGTGTCTAGCATTAATGATCAACTGTAGCCCTATTCACTCAGTATTTACAAAGCTTCTCAGAGTAGGAGTGCTGAACAAGGGTCGTTTTTCCCTCTTAGATCATAGTGAATAAGATTACTAAGGGAACGTTGAGAGCTACTCCACCCTGTCTCTCCCAAGACGATGATGAAGAGGACGGCTACTGTCTGGCTGGCCTGGCTGGGCTACATGTGTCTGGCTCAGGAAGAGGAGGTCTTGGGTTCTGTGGTGAACGTCTACACTGAACTGAAGGAGCTTAGGTCTTTGGTGGGAGAGCTGAGTACTAAGCTCCATACAGCAGAAGCAGACCTGAAAGAGCAGAGAGCTATGGTGGAGGAGCTGAAGAAAGAGAGAGAAGGTACAGTAAATATAAATTCATTAGTATTTATAAGCAGACATTTATGAAGCATTTATAAACATGTATTCAGTTTATTATCATGAAAATGTATATAAAGTGTTACCCAATGCTTTACAGGTCAATAATGCTCACAAATGAAAGTCCTCTTCTTGCTCCTCCCTTTGGTCCTTTTTTTCTACCAATGGGCAAATTTGTTTTGCATCGGGTGGGCGGAGTTTGCTCATTTTAGACCATTCCATTGGTCCTAAAGTGAAATCTCCACCCACCTGGCGCACCAGGCCATGCAAAACGAACTCGCCCGTTGTTAGGGATGATGATGCTCTCATTGCTGTGTTGTTGTTGATTGATGTTGTTGTTGTTGTTGTTGCTACTATCTTTGCTGGCAGAGCAACCCAAGGTAGCCTTCTCAGCAGCCTTGCTGTCGTCTGAAAGTAAACACCATGGGCCCATCGACGCAGAGACTAACCTCATTTTCGGAAAAGTCCTGACCAACATTGGCAGTGCATACAACCCAATCACAGGTCTCGCACTGAACATGCTGTATCTACATCATTATTTATAGCAGGGATGGTCGAAAACGGCCAGTGAGGTGCAGGATTGTTTCCCAGCCAGTCAGTAACACATCCCATTCAACTAATCAACTATTTTCAATAGCAATACTGCTTGGCTAGAACAAAAGCCTGCACCAATAGCGTTCCTTTGTGCATACGACTGGTCCATCTGATATAAGCCTCTAGTAGCAATGGCTAAATGCTAGATGCAACCACTATTTATCAACTCCTTCCATGTCTCAGGTGTCTTCACAGCGCCAGTGAGAGGGGTCTACTACTTCAGGTTTTCTGGAAACGGCTTTGCAGGCCATGACATGGGTCTGAGCATATTCAAGGATAGCGAAAGAATGATGTCTGTGTATGAATACCATTCCAGTGGAGAACAGAATGACCATGCGTCCAATGGAGTCACACTGCAGTTGGAGAAGGGAGGAGTGGTCTACATGCGTCTCTGGATCAACACATGGGTCTTCATCGACGGGCGATATGACTACTGCTCCTTCAGTGGCTTCCTGCTCTTTCCTATGTGAAGCATACAGCACAATGTCACATTTTCCTCTGTCATGAGATAAAACCCTGATGCAGGAAAATATATAATAAATAGCCTGTTTTGAAGATGTTTATATTGGTCCACTAATACAGGACTAGTAAAGGCCCAGTGCACTACTTTTATGATTTTGTTTTTACTACATGTATTTGAGTATTTACCAGCATTTGTAACTTGAATCCGATAATTATCTGTACAAAACAGTTAATCTGATAATACTTGTGGAATATAAATATACTTGCTTGGTATATGTTTTCCAGTTTCTTGAAATACTTGCAAATGCAACTTATTTCTATCTGAAAACTGAAACGGTCTATTCATTTCTATGGAAAACATTCCTTTTCAGTAGACACTTTCATCCAGAGCAATTTACAGTAGTGACTGCATACATTTACATACTTTTTCGTACTGGTCCCCCATTGGAATTGAACCCACAGCCATAGTATTGCAAGCGCCATTCTTTACCATCTGAGCTACATCATCACAAAACACTTGATGTCTCAATGTTCTCAATTACCGTATTGTGCATTGTTTTTCTTCATGGTGATGGAAAGTCTACAGGCACAAACCTAGATGAACAGCCTATGTACAATACAGTAATGCACATTTACATTAAGTGGTTTTTAAGGATGGTAAATTAATACTGCACAAAAAGTGGTTGTTTTCCATGTTATTTGATCAAGAAAAATATTTAGTTTGATGTGGATGTTTTGTGTCATTGCCCATAACTTTGCACCTTTTGATGTAAATGTTTGAGGACAGGGTTTTGTTCTTTATGGTTTCCATTAGAATGACAATCGCAGAGAAAGGGACAGGGCAACAACTCTTACAATTCCAGCTATTGAATCCAGCAAGATACTGTTCTTAATTATATATCTACCTTCTTTGCCAAAGCAGAGATGCTGAAAAAATTCCTGCACTACAGATGTCTATATTGGTCTGCTAATACTAGTTAAGGCCCAATGCATTACTTTTGTGTTGTTTGTTTTTCTTTTAAATATATACAGTACCAGTCAAAAGTTTGGACACACCTACTCATTCAAGGGTTGTTATTTATTTTTGCTATTTTCTACATTGTCGAATAATAGTGAAGACATCAAAAATATGATCCTCTGTAGCTCAGCTGGTAGAGCACGGCGCTTGTAATGCCAAAGTAGTGGGTTCGATCCCCGGGACCACCCATACACAAAAAAAATAATAATATGCACGCATGACTGTACGTCGCTTTGGATAAAAGCGTCTGCTAAATGGCATATTATTATATTATTATGAAATAACCAAAATGTAGTAACCAAAAAAGTGTTAAACAAATCAAAATATATTTTATATTTGAGATTCTTCAAAGTAGCCACCCTTTGCCTTGATGACAGCTTTACACACTTTTGGCATTCTGTCTTTACTGCACTATTACTTCACCTTCAGTACGTTCGGCTCCAACTCCCACCTTACGGGGCCATCTTGATTAAGGGTGGAGAGTCTTCTGATTCCAGTGACAGTGACAGCACCAGCAACACTGTCGTCCTACAACTGGTCGCTGGGGAACAGGTCCACGTAGAACAGTGGGAACACTCCAGAGTGTTTGATAGCCTGAATGGACACACCACCTTCAGTGGCTTCCTGCTCTTCCCTTTGTAATAGATGCTTCAGCGTGAAATTTCCCCTAGGTACAGATCCAGGATCAGCTTCCCCTCTCCCAATACTACCCTTAACCATTAGTGTGGAACATGGAAAACTGACCTAAGATCAGCATCTAGGGGCAACTTCTCCCTGTAATAAACAGGAAGTGATGCTGGAATCAGGATGTGATGTAATTAGTGTGAACAACCTCCACATTATACACTGCATATCAATAGTGTTGTCAACACTGTTAAAAAAAGTATTATAAAGTGTTCCCTGCTATTTTAGAGAACATTTATGATCTCCCTTAGTATCTTATCTCTTTATACAGTAGTCTACGGATATTATGAACATTTGGGTTAATACCTTACTTTAACTGTTATTGGAGAAGTTTGAGAGTAGTTTTTACTTGATTTTCAAGCTCTTTTGATATTATATTCTTGTAAACTGTACATAAGAATCTCTTAATGGATGTATTGTTTTATAAAAGTTATAGAATTGCATATTTATTTATTAGTATGCTCTCTTGAATGTTAGATCCAGTTTCCATACTACCACAGTGTGGGAAGGGCAGGGGCAGCTACCTAGCAAACATGAGCAAGGACTGGCACCAGCACAGCATGTTAAAAATGTAGAAAATGGCTTCCTTGTTCCTGGTTACCTCCTCACTTGTTACGCGACGGTGCGGTGCTTTCCTCTCTGTATTTAAAACAACAAATGCTGTTATATTGGCATGATAAGGCACTTAACCGCTAAGAGTCAATCCAAAAGTGTTCCTTGTCCCCCCCTTTTCTGCTAGCACAGGAAACTCTCACGAAAAGGGATAGTAGCATATGCAAACATTTCCAGGATTTCCCCAGCTCTCTATCTTAATGCCAGTGAGTTGTATCTAGTCTACTGCTTTGCCATCACAAGATAAAAACAAATCACAAACCCCTTGAGGTCGATGTACGCACCCGCATGGTTATCGGTGACACCATCACATTTTATTAAATAAAACCCTGTGTGTTTACATTAGAGATGTCCGTTTTTTTGCATGGGCTGCATCTCATTTCAATGAATCCGCCGGTGTCGGCCATTTGCCTATGTGGTAGACATCCGCTTCCCAAAAACGGTGTTTGTCAGACATGAGAGGATGCTGAAAGTTACTTTTCACAAAAACGTCTGTAAAGTCTGAACAGCTATTTGGACCCCACTATCGGAAGCCGAGACTCTCACACGGACATGTCAGCTCTTCTGCTCTACGACGTCTACAAGCTTCACAGGACTCGTCTCAATTTGATGCTGCTGACGTCCCATCTCCGAACAGGTCTTCTCACAAAAACTTCTGTAAAGTCTGAGCTACAAACTATTTTCATGTCATCCAACAATTATAAGCACCTGGGGGCCATACTTGCAAACATTAGAAAAAGTTCAGGGTTAAGTTTCAGCATCAGCCAATTAAAATCGTTGACTTAGTTGCACGTGATCAAAAGCTACATGATAGCTGTTGCCATTACATAAGCTTGCACATTTAGTCCTCAGCAGGTGGCCATGATTATTTCCTGTAACAAATTGCCCCTCCCCCCTAACTTTTTCTCGACAAACCAATAGCATTTCATAAAATAGGTCAACTTGGCCACCAGAGGGATACATTCAAACCTCCAAATTCAAGGTTTACTTTTGTTCCCCTCCACTTGGTCTGTCTCAAGTGTATGACAATGTTGCATGACTATTTTTGCGTAGGATACTTACTAACGTTACGTTTTCACGTATATGACGTTTTTGCTTCTCCGTTTCACATACATCCATGTATTGTTAATGGTGGGTCAAGACATGTCAGGGTAAAAAAAATTATAACAAAATATACTGAACAAAAATATAAATGCAACTTGCAACAATTTCTAAGATTTGACTGAGTTACAGTTCATATGAGGAAATAAGTAAATTTAAATACATTCATTAGGCGCTAATCTATGGATTTCACATGACTGGGAATACAGATATGCATCTGTTGGTCGCAGATACCTTAAAAGAAATGGGCCTCACAATGGGCCTCAGGATCTCGTCACGGTATTTCTGTGCACCCAAATTGCCATTGATAAAATGCAATTGTGTTCGTTGTCCGTCGCTTATGCCTGCCCATACCATAACCCCAATACCACCATGGGCCATACACGTGGTCTGCGGTTATGAGGCCGGTTGGACGTACTGCCAAATTCTCTAAAACGACGTTGGAGGAGGCTTACAGTATAGTAGAGAAATGAACCATTCAATTCTCTGGCAAAAGCTCTGGTGGACATTCCTGCAGTCAGCATGCCAATTGCACGCTCCCTCAATACTTGAGACATCTGTGGCATTGTGTTGTGTGACAAAACTGCACATTTTAGAGTGGCCTTTTATTGTCCCCAGCACAAGTTGCACCTGTGTAATGATCATGCTGTTTAATCAGCTTCTTCATATGCCACACCTGTCAGGTGGATGGATTATCTTGGCAAAGGAGAAACAAGGATGTAAACAAATCTGTGCACAAAATTTGAAAACATTTTGGAACATTTCTGGGATGTTTTATTTCAGCTCATGAAACATGGGACCAACACTTTACATGTTGCGTTTATATTTTGGTTCAGTGTAAATAGTTTTAGGAACTCAGTCTGGCTCTCAATTTACTGTTGTTGAGAGTTAGAATAGTAGAATGCACAAGGTGCAATTTTTTTATTTGGTTGTGACCAGGGGCGGCCTGTTCAATAGGGCGATATGGGCGACGCACTGCCAAACGGGAAAAGGAAGGGATTTTTTTTCTAATCAATTATATCACGGCAACAGTAGTTATCAGTGTTGTAATCTATACGTCTGATCTGCCACAGTGCCACACTGCCACTAAATGTCGAATCAGGCTAAAGTCGTGCTTCAAATGGCTCCCCCCCCTTTTGGGGCGATTTCAGTCAGGTTGAAAATCGCCCAGAAGTCTGTCATAGACTCCCATGTAAAATCTATTTTTTTCAAATTTCAGAGCCTTCAATACAATCTCAATGGGTGTCTGTGGGCTTGCACTTACGCGCTTTCGTCATACATTACGTAACCATGAACGTAACTGAGAAAAGAGTGGATTGTTTGAAAGAAGTTCCTTTTTGTCGGCGAACAAATGAAGATAAATTGGCAACGAAACAATTAGGACCTCCCAGACCAAATTTAATAATTCAACAGGTTTCTACTAAAGGCGGAAAGTCCTACACCCGAGGATTTTCCAAAAATTGGTACGAACGAAAAAAGACATTGCCACTCACTCAACTGGATGACGAGGGATACAGGCTAGCTGTCCGCCGCCACAACGATGAGGTTAGTGTTGATAATCACAAGTTTACTGGAGAACCAACTGAGACCAAGTAGAGACTTTGGACAGGGTGGATATGGTGTAATAAAGGCAGTTTATTCAGAGGTAAATATATCTGGAATCGCGTTCACGGACCCGTTCGTCAAACTCTTAGGGAGCTATAAATTAAGCCCCATTACT